GCACGAACGTGCTGCCCCCTTTTCACTAATGAGGAAACTGAGGCCAGGTCCCTCGCTCCAGAACAAGGGGCGAGAACCCAGGCGGGCCGGGGGATGCGGAAAGCGTGCGGGGAAGTTTCCCGGCTTCCCAAGTTTGCAGAAACTTGGGTGCGCCCAGGACACTCCTGCATCCTCCGCCCGCGCCCCCCGGGCTCCTACGGCTTAGGGGGAGCCCGGACGCGGGGCTCTCACCGTCTTTCCGGAGGGGCGCGGGACCGGGGGGCGCCCTCAGCGGCTGCGCCAGCGCCAGGGTCTTGGAGGCGGCTCTGCGGAGAGACATCGCGCCCGGACGGGTACCCGGACTCTGCGGCCCACGCCGCCCGCGCCCGCGCCCCGACCTGCTGGCCCCGCCCCCGGGAGGGGCCGGAGGAGACCACGCCCCTGAACTACCATAGACCACGCCCCGGGGAGGGGCCGGATGAGACCACCCCCCCCCGGAGGCTACCTGAGACCACGGCGCGGGACTACCATAGACCACGCCCCAGGGAGGGGCCGGAGGAAACCACGCCCCGGAACTAACATAGACCACGCCCAGGGGAGTGGCCGGAGGAAACCACGCCTCGGGGGCTACCTGAGACCACGTCCCGGGGAGGGGCCGGAGGAGACCACGCCCCGGGACTACTGGAGACCACGCCCCGGGCTACCGGAGACCACGCCTCAGGCCCTGCGGGGCTAGCAGGCCGCTCGAACCCGGGTCTCCAGGCTTGCGCACCTGCTCGGCGCGTGCAGGAGAGGTCCAGCGCACCCAGGGTCCCGCGCGGGCTCTGCGCCCACCCCCTCTCCCTGCGACCCGGCTGCGGAGTGGAATGCGCGGCTGGAAGTTTCTGGAGGGAGGTGAGCAGAGGGGTCCCCGGCGCCAGCCCTCGGTGCCCCCCCACCTTGCGGCCGTGTCACCTCCGGAGCAATGCCCGGAACAGGGCTCAGTGCGGGAGGATCTCGGGCCGGGGGTTTCGGGTTTGCTCTCCCGAGGGGCCGCACGTTCCCGCGTGGGCAAGAGCCCGGATCGCCACCACGGGCACGCGGGGCTGCCGGGGGCTCCTCCGAGGTCTCAGTTCTGCGACTCGTGGGGGCCGCGAGAAATTGATGTGGGGCTGGAGTCAGGTGCTTGCCTCGCACTTGGCCGTGACTGCAGCACCCAGCAACCACGCGATGATTCCCCAATAATGAGCCCAGCACCATCCCTGAGCACCAACAGCCTGGCACTCCCCCCTCAAAAAAGAAAAAGAAAAAAAAATTGTGGGCCCAGAGCCATAGCACAGTGGGTAGGGCGCCTTGCTGTCCTGCGACTGATCCGAGTTCAATCCCCAGCACCTCTTAATGGTCCCCGGAGCCCTGCTAGGGGTAAGCCCTGAGTATCACTGGGTGTGGACACCCCAAAAACAGCTCACATTTTTGGGCAGGGAGCCCCACACCAGGCAGTTCTCTGGCCTTGCTCCTGGCTGTACTCAGGAATCACTCCTGGGAGGGCTGGTGGGGCCATATATGGCGATGGAGAGCGAACCCTGGTTGGCAGAGTGCTAAGCAACTCTCTCCAGCCTAAGAGGGTGAGTTTGGGGTCTGAGGGAAAGGCCTGAGGGAAAGCTTTTACTGAGGGACTGAGGTGGGCTCTGAAGCACATTAGGTGGAAGTTCTTAGCCTGCTGGACAAGGCAGTGCCAAGGTCCCCATCTGGCCTCTGCATTTCAGTGCTCGGGATGGCTCCCCCAGGAGGCCCCTCCAGGTTGCATGTGGCCATTCCAGCCAGAGCACCCAGCCTTGAGAGATGAGAATAATTCCCAACTTCCCCAGCTACCTTTTCATTTCCTGTAGCTCAGTGCTTTGGAACATTCAAAGAGAATTTAGAACATCCAAAGAGAATGTTCTAGCTCATTGCTAGAGGGAGATGTTACTTTCCATTTAGAGAGCACTTCCGGCATCTTTAGGAAATGTGTCTGACAGAAGGCTTGCCTGGTGGTCAGGCCGCTCTGGCAAGTTGCTTCTCCCAAACCTGAGTAGCCTTGGTATCCCGATTTTTGGGGGAGGGTGCTTCCTGGGGATGCCCAGCTCTGTCCACTGCAGGGATGGGGAGACCAAACTCGGGACCTGTGCTGGCCAGGCTCAAGTTGCGGTCTTATGAGTGATCTGTATTGCCCCAACCCGGGGGAGAGTCTTAACTCTGCTCTGGAAGGCCAGTTCCCTTCCCCGGCTACCCTTGGACACATCCTTGACATTTTTCTTGAACTGGTTGGAGAAACATGATTCGAGGGTCAGAGCTAACTTGGCTGCGTTCCAGTGACTTATCACTTACTTGCGTGTGGACAAAGATGATGTCGTCTGGAGAACAGTCCAAGACTCCTTTGTTGGCACTTAACAGACTGATTCTGGCTTAAGTGCGGTGCAATTAAAAGCAGTTTTCAAAGAGTGATTTCCTAGATGCCACAGAAATAAATATTTGTTTTCTTAACACCAAATTCTTCTCTTTTTTTCAGGGTAGGAGTTTGTGTTTACCAAACTGCATGCAGTGGGCTCAGGAAACACTCCCGGCACTGCCTGGGGCCATATGTGGTGCAGGGGATAGAACCAGGATCAGACAAGTGAAAGGCCCTAACTTTATTTATTTTTTTTTGCAGGAGTACTGCTATTTATTCAGCCACTGATTAGGCTGATTGAATTGTGCATGAACTCCCCCTTACTTTTTTTCCCATTTTTTATAATTTTATTTATGGAATCACCGTGAGAGCAGTTACAAAGCTTTCGGGTTTAAATCTCAGTCATACAATGAAACACCCGTACCTTCACCAGTACCCATTATCCAACACCAAAATCCCCAGTATACCCCCATCCCCCACCTTCCCCCTACCTGTGGGGCAGATAATTACTCTTTCTATACTTTGATTACATTCAACATTTTGACACCACACCCACCATTATTATTTGGGACTTTACCCCAACACTCAGATCTGCCGAAAGGGCAACAGTAGACAATTTATTTTCTGTTGCTGGTTAAGAATAACATATGATGTCGCATGGCTGCAGTAGTGGCTACGTGATTTTGAAATTCCGAAATTTTAACAATTAAATCTGGAGGGATTTCTGCCAAAACCTGCTGGGTTCCGAGATTTGTTCTTGAGTCTCTGGGATCATGGCCAGTAAGCAGCTTGACCAGGAGCCAGAGAGGCCATTCATGGGTGGGAACTTGGGGTCTCGTTAGGGTGGGGAGGAAATGGTCGGCTCCACCTCCATCCCATGAGGACCCGCTTGTCTTGTCACTGCGGGCCCAAACCTGACTGTCCAGTGGCCTCTGGAGGATGCTGGCTACCAGGCTGCCAGGGGGAAGAGGACAAGGCATGAAACCTATTCCCACCTGGGTTGGTCAGCGCTGGTAACCTACTGCAGGGACTGGACACATTTCTGCCAAAAGCCGTTGGGTTTCAAGATTTGTTTCTGAGTCTCTGGGATCATTCAACATTTTGACACCACATTTTTTCAGCTTGATCATGAGCCAGAAAGGGCGTTCATGGACGGCGTCTCAGGGTATGGTTGGGACGGGGAGGAAAGGGCCGGCTTCACCCCCATCCTGTAAGGCCCCACGTGTCTTGTCACTGAGGGCCCAAACCTACTCTCCAGTGGCCTCTGGAGGATGGCGGCCACTGAGCCGCCTAGGGGGAGCAGGCGGAGGGTCAAGACCCTTTTCCCTCTGGGGTGGCCTGGTGACAGTAACCTACTGTGGGGTCTGGACACATTTCTGCCAAAAGCCACTGGGTTCCAAGATTTGTTTCTGAGCCTCTGGGATCATGGCCGTTAAGCAGCTTGATCAGGAGCCAGAGATGCCGTTCATGGGTGGCGACTCGGGGTCTTGTTGGAGTGGGGAGGAAAGGACCGGATCCACCCCCATTCCGTGAAAGGCCCTAACTTTAACCCCTGTATGACCTCAATCTCTCTTGCTCTGAAGATTTTGGTTTTTAGGGGGCCATACTCAGGGCTTACTCCTGGCTATGCTCTGGAACTATACAGCAACAGGGATCTGTATGAAAAGCAACTCCATACACCCTGAACAGACTATCTCTCCAGTCCCCAATTTTGTAAATATGTGACATACAATATTGGAATTACAATGTGTTTTTTTGGGGGGTGCTCCTGGTCTTAACCCCTTAGGCCCGCAACTAAGTTTTAACTGTTTTGTAAGATTTAGATGAGGAATTACCTGTAGTTTATTTTTATCGTTCTAATTTGTGGGCCATACACAACAGCGCTCAGGGGACCACATGTGGTGCAGGGATGGAACTCAGGTTGGCCATGCACCCGACCTGCTACACTGTACTCCAGACTTTCTTTGCTTTTTGTCTTGCGGCCACATCCAGCAGGGCTCAGGGTCACCCCTGGCGGGCCAGGGGACCATGTGGTGTGCCGCAGATAGAACTAGACTCAGCTGTGAGCAAGGCAAGTGTCTTTCTGACTGTACTATCTCACCCCAATCCCCTTTATGTTTTTTATTGACCAAGACTCTGAGATGCATGATACTGTTAACAATGGTTTCCCATGCACAGAATCCCAACATACCCTGTATTGCAATTTGTCTCGACGTGCCCTGTCAACTCCTCAGAAAGTACTACTAGCCAATACGAACAATAAACTTCACACTGACGTAAGGTAAATAAAAGGGCCCTCAAATGAGGAGCCTTCAAATCCAAGGAAATGCGGTGAAAAAGAACTACTGCGTGTTGGAGACCTCGTCCTGGGGGCAGGGAGCTCACCTTACGTGCAGCCGATCTGGGGTCGAGCCCTGCATCCCATATGGTCCTCTGTGCATCTCAGGAGTAGTTTCTGAGCACAGAGCCAGGAGTAAGCCCTGAGCGTTGTTGGGATCAACCAACCAACCCACCCTTCAGATATGCGAGGGATCTGCCGAGAGACAGGGAAGGGCCTTGAGGGCATGAGGTGAGGCCCCCAGTTTGAACACTGACGCCAAAATACACAACACACTCAGGTAGTAGGACCCAGCTTTACTCTGAATTATGAAAAGGCTCATTGGTCCAAGTGGTCACCACAGATAATTTTTACTTTTTCATTCTGAAGATGCAAAATAAATGCTGACTTGGAATATAACTTAAAACTTTTTCTTTCATATTTACAATCAACAAATTGGTGGATCCAGATGACTTGCTGTTAACTTTACGGAGAGCAAACCTATAACAAAAAAAAAAAGAATTAAAAATTCAGAGAATCCTAACAAGAATAAAAAACACATCCAGGGAGAGCATTAATCCCTTATTTTATTTACACTTTGGCAATTTTTTTTTTTCTTGTTTAACCCCTGTACTATCTTTCTGGCCAGGCAAGAAACATTTTCTTTTTTTCTTTTTGGGTCACACCCGGCAATGCACAGGGGTTCCTCCTGGCTCTGCGCTCAGGAATTACCCCTGGCAGTGCTCAGGGGACCATATGGGATGCTGAGAATCGACCCGGGTTGGCCGCGTGCAAGACAAACGCCCTACCCGCTGTGCTATTGCTCCAGCCCCAAGGCAAGAAACATTTTATAGAAATTACCAAAGCAGTGCAAAGCTTGGGGCTAGAGCCATAGTGCAAGGCTCTAGCCCCTTGGCTTCATTCTTAAGACCTTCTTTGAACAGAGTAATGATTACCAACAATTTTGATAAAAGATGCTTAAGTCCAGCACTATGAATTCATACAAGTGGGGCTGAGGATAGGGGTGTTTTCCTTGCACCCGTCTGACCTGACTTTGATTCTTGGAACCCCTGATGGTGCCCCAAGCCCATTAAGAGTGATTCTCTGAACACAGAGCCAGGAGTAAGCCCTGAGCATGCCGAGTGTGATCCCAAAACAAACAAGGGGCTGGAGAGATACTCCAGTGGGTAGGGTGCTTGCCTTCCATGAGGCCAGCCTGGGTTTGATCCCCAGAATCCCAAGCACTGCCAGGAATAACTGCTGAGTGCAGAGCTAGGAGTAAACCCTGAGCATATCTGGATGTGGACAAAAAACAGAAAAAAAAAATTCTTTTAAGAGGTTACATCAACCTATATAATTGTTTCCATCTCATGAAATTTCATACTTACTGTCTCAAAAGTTTATTCCAATCCATTTCTTCTCTTATACTCTGCAACATCTTCGTTATGTTGCGTGATGAGCTAGAAGCAGGTACAAGTTAAAATGAGAAATGCAATCTTCCAGCAAATTAAGGAGGCAAACTAAAGATACTTCTATCTTTTTACACATATACAAGAGGAAGACGAATAGACTTAAAAAACAAAAACAAAAACCCTCGGTAAGGTATTCGTTAGAAATTCAAAGCTAAGATATGCGGGGGCCGGGAAGCCACGGTCCCAAGCTCCCTGGCCCTGGCCCAGGGTTTAGCATGGAACTGTGTGACCTGGTAGACCCTAGATTCCTGTGCCCTGCGTGTGATGGTTCTCCCTAAAAAAAAAAATCAGGTAGAATTAAAACAACAGACTATAGTAAGTTACTGGAATGGAGTCTGCCTCAAAATATCTTGCTGTGGGGTCAGAGAAATGGTGCCAAGGGCTGGGCATATGTTAGGCACTCAGGAGGTCAGGACCTGGTCCACAACCACTATAGGACCCTACAACACAACTGCCCCCAAGTACCTGGGTGCACTTACTATACTTTTACATCAGGGTAACTACTACTGGTAGTGCTGGAGGCTACTCCCGGCTTGGAGTCACTCCCTGCAGTTCTCAGGGCCAGGCAGGGCCAGGATGAACCCACACCAGCGCTCCTGAAGGCAAAGAGAGCGCTCAGCTCGGCCCAGGTCCCCGCTCCAACCCTTTTTAGGAGACATTTAAACAAAGAGCATACAAAACGTCCCAACAAACTTCATTACAAAGGATCACTGTTGTGCCTTTCCACCTCTTGACTTCCTTGGCAAAGAACTGAACCACTCTTACACGTTGATGCTGTGTGTACCATCAGTGGCTCACAGCTGAATATGGTCAATTAACATACATTCGTGTCAACTCGGAAGACAAAATCCAAAATAAGAAATCTAAGAGCTGGAGGGGGCTGGAGCAATAGCGCAGCAGGTAGGGCGTTTGCCTTGCACATGGCTGACCCGGGTTCGATTCCCAGCATCTCATATGGTCCCCTGAGCACCGCCAGAGATAACTCCTGAGTGTAGTGCAGAACCAGGAGGAGTCCCCTGTGCATCCTGGGGTGTAACCCAAAAAGCAAAAACAAAACAAAACAAAACAAAAAACCCCAAACAAAACAAAATCTAAGAGCTGGAGGTGGAGAGATTGACAGGAAGTGCCAAATTCATTCAAACAAAATCACAAAACAAAAAAAAATCCAAAGAGCAACAACATTAAGTCAATTAAGAATATTTAAAGAGGACTTCACAGGGTATTTCAATGTAGCTCTGGAAAGGAAAACTGGTGAATTTCGTGGGGAGTTTTTTCACCTGGGGGCAGGAGCAACAGCCCACTATGCCCACCATGTTCAATCCCAGCATCCTATATGGTCCCCCTGCACGGCCAGGAGTGATTCCTGCTGCAGAGCCAGGAGGAACCCCCGGGCATCGCTGGGTGTGCCCCCAAAAGCAATTAAAAAAAGAGTTTTCTCATCGGTAAGAGGTGAGCAACAGGGCCTTCGGAGCTACTGCCAGCCTGTGAAGACAGACACGGGGTGGGGGCAGCTACCCACTAAAAACACTCCCAACAACAATGACGCACGGACTCAAGTCTAATACTCCGGAAGTCTAACGGGATTTCACTTGTCTAACTTTGTTCCCGGATGTTCTGGCAACCACAGCTATCATAAGACCCCTGCCAGACTCCATCAATCTTAATCAAGAAAGATTAAGAAATCAAGAAATCCAAGAACATTTGAGTACTTTTTTTTTTTTTTTGGCTTTTTGGGCCACACCCGGCTATGCACAGAGGTTACTCCTGGCTCTGCGCTCAGGAATGACCCCTGACGGTGGCTCAGGGGACCCTATGGGATGCTGGGAATCGAACCCGGGTCGGCCCTGTGCCAGGCAAGCGCCCTCCCCGCTGTGCTATCACCCCAGCCCTTCAATACTCGGTAAAACTGACATATCTCACGAAACCACGCTCGGCGACTGCACGCTTGAGGCCGGGCCTCCCGCGGCGTCCCGAGGGTCGCAGCGTTTGGGCCCCCCAGCCTTGGACCTGGCTCGCGTCCCGGACATCGCGAGGGGAGCAGCTGGGCCTCCTGCGACGTCCCGGGGGTCGCGGGCGGTGGAGCGTTTGGGTTCCCGCCTTGGACCTGGGCTCGCGCCCCGGACACCTCGGGGGGCGCCCGAGCTCGGCGCTTCCCGCACCCCGAGCCCGCCCCGCCACTTACGAGGCCCCACAGGACGGCGGAGGTGCCCAAGGTCAGCCCCACTTTGAGCCAGTCGGGCTTGTCGTTCGGCGGCTCCCGGACGTAGAACTTGGACCGCGCGGGCACTGCAACGGGGACAGAGTCTGTAAGCCCCAAGGGCCGCGGAGGGAAGCGCTCGCCGGGGAGGGCGGGGGCGCCGCGCGGGATCCGTGCCCCCCAGCCCCCTCTCCAGCCCGCGCCCGAGACCACCCGGGTGCACCGGGGGGGCCCGGGGGAGACTAGTGCGGGCTCCGGGCTGCGAGGCCGCGAAGGTCACCGCGGGACGGGCCGAGCCGCAGCCGCCCCGCGCCCCCACGAGCCGGCGGTGGCCAGGCAGGACCCCGCCTGGGAGCTGGGGGGCGGCCCGCGCGAAGAGGGGCACTCACGGGCGCGCGGGAGCCAGGCGGGGGGCAGCAGCCGGGCCAGGGGGCGCAGCAGGCAGGACGGCGCCATCTTGCTGGTCGGGCTCCGCCCCCGCGAGGCTCCGCCCCCTCGAGGCCCCGCCCCTCCAGGCCCCGCCCGCGGCGGCGGCAGAGCGCCCCCTGGAGGCTGGAGGTGCCGCTCCGCGTGGGGCGGGGGCGCGCGCGATTTGCAGGCTCGGGGCTGGCCCGCGGCTCGGTAGAGGGAGATGGGGAGGGGACGGGAGGGGTCCAGGGCGCGCCGGGAGTTCTTCTCCACGTCCCTGCCCTCTGGTTCTATTCCAGACCTTCCCCTCGGCGAGGGTTTGCTGGCGTCACAGTTCCCGACCGCTTTTGCATGAGCGAGCTGGGAAGTGAGCCTGAAAGGTGGGATTCGCACGGGCCTTGGCTCGGCCCCGGGTTCCAGGCAGGCCCCGCGCGTCCGGGCGTCGTCTGGCTTACACGCACTGTCTCATTTCATCTTCCAGTGAGCACCTGACGTGCCGTGATGATTGCCCTCCAGTGACAGGTGGCGCGCCCAGGAGACAAGCCAACGTCCCCAGGCCGCACCTGGTGTTGGAGAAGGAAGCCTGCGGTCCCCGGGGCGCCTGGCGCGCACTTACCATTGTGGAGCTTCACAGCCCCGTGCAGAGAAGAGGATTTGCAGTGCCCTGAGCATTTCAGGATCACGCGACCGTGGGCGGCAGGACTGAGTCTTTTCAGGGGGCTGCCCTCGCCCCAACCCCCAATCTAGCGTTCCTCTGTTGACCTAATAAACTGGGGTCATCCCTGAGACCAGGCAGTGTAGAGCAGAATTCAAAGTGCCTAATTCAAAGATCACTTCCGGCGGACACGGGGCCGGTGAGGGGTATTGAAAGATTTTTGGTGGGGGGCCACACCCAGCACTTTCATCTGTTATTCCTGACTGTGGGGGTACCATATGTGTGCTGGGAATCCTAATCTGGGTCTCCAAACGCGTTACATCATGTACTGTTACTCTGGACCCTAGCTCTTCGGATTTTATTTTTGAAGTAAAACAAGTTTGATTTGGAAGTTTTTTTTTTTTTCTTTTTTGGGTCACACCTGGCGATGCTCAGGGGTCACTCCTGGCTCTACACTCAGGAATCACTCCTGGTGGTGCTCAGGGAACCATATGGGATGCTGGGAATCGAACCCGGGTCGGCCACATGCAAGGCAAATACCCTACCCGCTGTGCTGTCGCTCCAGCCCCTGATTTGGAAGGTTTGGGGAAGGGGACAGAAGGAGAGAAAGAGAGAAACGTGCTCAAGAGAGAATGCAGGAAACTGGAGTGATAGTACAGCGTTTAGGACAAACCTATGACCTGGGTTCAATCCCCCACATCCCATATGGTCACCTGAGCACCTCTAGGAGTAATTCATGAGTGCAGAGCCAGAGTAACCCTGACCCCTGAGCATTGCCCAAAAGCCAGTGGCGGGGGGATGGGGGGGAGATATTGGGAGGCTTCTCCAAAGATGAGAGAGTACCCATCCCAGCCGCCTAGTATGAATGTATGAAAGTATACATCTCAAGTGGGAAGATGAGGGGCCGGGGTCAGAGCCAGACTACAGCAGGTAGATGAACAGGCCTGAAGCAGGGGCACCTCAAGAATTAAGAAGAGAGTCAGAGGGCTGGAGCAATAGCACAGCGGGTAGGGCGTTTGCCTTGCATGCAGTCGACCTGAGTTCGATTCCCAGCAACCCATATGGTCCTCTGAGCACCGCCAAGAGTAATTCCTGAGTGCATGAACCAGGAGTAACCCTTGTGCCCCCCCCCAAAAAAAAAGGTTGTGACCCAAAAAGAAAAAAAAAGAAAGAAAAGAGCCAGAAATGAGAGAGAAAAGGCATGGATTCACAGACTCACTGTCCTACATGAACACTATTGTTTAGAGTCAGTAATCATTCAAAGGAGAATACCATTCTTTTGTTGGTTGCCTAACAATCTCTCCAGGTTAGATTATTACATATCTGAGGACGTTAGTTTAATGGGATAAACATCAATGTAAAGGGCTTTATTTCTTTTCTTTTTTTTTTGTGGGTCACACCTGGCGATGCACAGGGGTTACTCCTGACTCATGCACTCAGGAATTACTCCTGGCGGTGCTCGAGGGACCTTATGGGATGCTGGGAATTGAACCCGGGGCTGGCCGCGTGCAAGGCAAACACCCTACCCGCTGTGCTATCGCTCCAGTCCCCCGTAAAGGGCTTTCTTAAGGAGAAATTCTTCCAGGAGCTGGAAGAGAGAGAACAGAAAGGACCCCGCCTGGCTGGCATTCCAGGGCATCATTCCATATCTGGGCTCCAGCATTCTGGATTCTGGTCCCCAACAGAAGGGCATTTGCCCTGCACACAGCAGAACCTAGGGGATCACGGGCCCCCCAGAAGGTCCCCTGAACCCGCCTGGGGTGACCCCTGCATGAAGTCAGGACTAATCCTTGACTCCTTGAGCATTGCTCGGTGTGACCCAAAAACTGGAAAAAAAAAAGAGGGGAGATACAGGTGACACATATGCTCAGCACCACATGTGCTCAATAAGAACACATGTGCTCGCGCAGCATATGTGCTGCTCTTGGGATTTTTTCACTAATCAACCTCTTTAAGCAATGACTCAGTTTGACATGTGTAACTTAAAGCCTCTCTTAGCCTGTGGGAAATTTAGAAAGTAATAGTAATTTTTTCTGTCTTTTTTTTTTTTTTCAGCCATACCTGACTATGTTCAGTGCTTATTCCTGGCTTAGTGCTCAGGGATCACTCCTGGCGGGGCTCAGGAAACTGTATGTGGTGCCAGGAATTGAGCACAGGTGGGCCATGAGCAAGGCAAGTGCCCTACCCACTGTCCTATCTCTCTAGCACCAAAATTTTATTTATTTATTTATTTTTATTAGTGAGACATCATGAGGTACAGTTGTAGACTTACAATTTTTTGTGCTTGGGTTTCAATTATACAATGATCAAATACCCATCCCTCCACCAGTGCCTATTTCCCACCACCACGGATCCCAGTATCCCCCACCCCCATCCCCCATCCCACCTGCCTCTGTGGCAGGGCATTTCCTTTTGTTCTCTCTCTCCTTTTGGGTGTTGTGGTTTGCAAAAGAGGCAATGGGTGACAATCATGTTCGGTCTAGAGTCTACTTTCAGCATGCTTCTCCCACCCTGGGAGGATCCTCCCAACACCCTAGCACCAATACTTTTTTTTATATTAAAAAATTTAAGGCCTTGGGACCGGAGAGATAGGACAGTGGATAGGGCACTTGCCTTGCATGCCACCAATTTGTGTTCCATCCGCAGCATCCCATATGGTTCCATGAGCACCACCAGGAACAGTTCCTGAGAGCAGAGTCAGGAATAATCCCTGAGCATCACCAGGTGTGGCAGCCCCACACAAATTTTTTTTTTTTGTACGTGGTCCACCTAGGTTCGATTCCTGGCACCTGATGTGGTCTCCTGAGCAGCTTCAGGAGTGTTCCCTGACCTCAGAAACAGGAGTCAAACCTGAGCACAACCCGTTTGTGGCCCAAAATGGAAAAAAGAAAGTTAAAGCCAATGTATTTTTTCTTTCTTTCTTTTTGCTTTTTGGGTCACACCCGGCGATGCTCAGGGGTTACTCCTGGCTCTGCACTCAGGAATCATCCCTGGCAGTGCTCAGGAGACCATATGGGATGCTGGGAATCAAATCCGGGTTGGCCATGTGCAAGGCACACGCCCTACCCATTGTGCTATCAGTCCAGCCCCTGTATTTTCTTTTTGTTGTTGTTGTGGTTTGTTTTTTTGAGCCATATCCAGTGATGCTCAGGGGTTATTCCTGACTTTGCACTCAGAAAGTACTCCTAGAAGTGTCCAGGAGTATCAAACCTGGGTCAGCCCTGTGCAAAACAAGCAGCCCATCAGGTGTGCCATCACTCTGAGAGTCCCCCCTCCCACCACACACGCAATTTTTTACACCAAAAATGAGTGACCAAAACATGAGACACGTGTTCTGTGCTTTCCGGTTCCCCTTTTGTGCGACCGGTGGGCATCTCAGCGGTCTCCCTGCTGACTGTCACTGCCTCTGAGCTGGCCGCACTCCGCCAGCCAACCACCCAGCGAACGTGCTGGCTCAGTCGTTGGTTTCTTAGCTTCTTGGCTTCTTGTCCACTCAGCAACTTGTCAGTTGTAGATCTTCTACACCAACCCTCGGGAACTTGCCCTGACACAGCTTTTGCTGGTCCCCAACAAGTCAGAACAGAAACCATGATTAGGCAGGAGCCAGATTGCTGATTTCACTTCAGCAGCAGCTGGAAAAGGATTTTTATTCTCCACCCCCCCAGCTCTCCTACCCACCCCGTATCCTTTTACTCGGATATATATTTTAGGAAAGTGATGAAGTCGAAGCCCATTTGTCCCAGCATTAGTTAGAGCTGACGGAGTCTTGGACTTGGAAGAGGCAGCTCCATCCTGAAAGGGTTCTGACAGAATGCCAGCAGGAGCGAACAGCCAAGCAGTTTCAGGCAAGTGAGCCCGTGACAATCACTTCACACGTCTCCGGAACTTGAATGCTGAAACCTTATTTGTGATTTAGGCAAAGAAGAGGGGACTTGAATTAGCAGATGGGTAAAGCAAAGTTGTATTTTCGATATTTTTTTCTTTACTTGTTTTTGGAGGCGGGGGGTTGTTTTCTTTTCGGGCCATACAAGGTGATGCTCAGGGGTTACTCCTGGCTCTGCACTCAGGAATGACTCTTGTCAGTGCTCAGGGGACTGTATAGGAGGCTGGGGATCAAACCTGGGTTGGCTCCATGCAAGGCAAGAACCTTACCTTCTGTACTATCTCTCAGACCCCTGTTTTATTTTTGAATCTCATTATTATTATTATTATTATTATTACTTTTGGCCATATCTGGAATTTCTTATAGCTTACTCCCTGATCTGCTCAGATATCATTCCTGGCAGGGCTCAGGGAACCATCTAGGGTGCCAGGGGTGAAACCTGGATTGGCCACGTGCAGACTAAGCACCGTACTCTTTGAACTATCTCTCCACCCTGGGACATCTGAAAAATAGTCCCAGATGTTTCCACTGAGTGGGAAGCA